GCTGCGCGCCCGCATGTGCCCCGGGGCTGGGGCCGCCCGAGCGCCGCGCACCAGGCACCAGTGCGTGTTGCACGCCTGGGGCCGGCACCTCCAGTGCACCGCGCGCTGGGGGCGGGGCCAGCCCAGGTTGTTGGCGGGCGCACACAAATGCCCTGGCAGGCGCCATGGCGCCCGCGGGCACAGAGTTGGGGACCACTGCTCTAAACTCTATCGAGAGCTGGCTGAATATTCTTATTATTGGCTGATAGCATCAAATCAGTCTATGGGAATTAGGCACCCAAATCTCACTGGAGTTGAATGGCATTTGGGTGCCCAATTTCTCATTCACTCCTTTGACACTCCCAAGTATGGGTTGTATTGTTCATTATTTGTCTTACAGGGTTATACATGATTTCATACACATGAGACACTGCCATTCTGTTTGTTAGAGTTTGTGTGTCTATTTGTCTATCTGTGAGTCTGTTTTATCAAGATCTCCTCCTAAAAGGTAAGAGCTAAGACCACCAAATTTGGCTTGCCGCTTCCTCTTATCATAACTAAAAGCAACGTCTGGATTTAAGGGTGCCCGTATCCTGGAATGTACATGGAATGCATTTATTTCTCATCACACAGAAAAGGAGGGCTGTGATAGCAAGGACAGTTATGCTCCGGAATGACCACATGGGGGCAGCAAGCAAGCATGCCCCTGCAGTCCTGACAGACCCAGAGAGCCAAGGGCAGCCACTGGCCAGTGTGCAGCCCCCGCCACCTCAGGCCTGCCCCAGAGAGCAGCCACCAGCTGCTCTCACTCCCTGCCCTGAGCCCCTCACCCCCTATTCCTCCTACATCCTCCCCTCCCCTGAGCCCTCTCTACACCTCCCAACCCACAGCCCTGCTCCTGAACATCCTCACACTGCCCAGCCCCCTGCCCTGGGTTCCCCCATCCCCAAGCCCCTACCCTGAACCCTGCACCCCCCTCCACTCCAGTCCCCTGCCATGAAGGAGCTGAGCAATGGTGAGTACATCTTGTAGGATACATATAATATGTGAGGGTATGTCTACACAGCAAAGTTATTTCGAAATAACTTTCCGAGCGTCTACACAGCCATTCCGCTATTTCGAAATTAAATCAAAATAGTGGAGGGTTTATTTCGAAATTGGTAAACCTTATTCCACGAGGAATAGCGCCAATTTCGAAATTGCTATTTCAAAATAAGCACTGTATAGGGGCTTATTTCGAAATAGGGGGCCTCCAGCCCTTCCCAGGGTGCCCTGCTGGCCACCCTGGCCACAAGGAAACTTTTGATCTGATGCCTTTTCAGAACTTCAATGCGATTCAATGTCCACTCAGTGTGGATGCGCTATTCCGAAATAGAAAAATGCTATTTCGAAATACATTTGGTGTGTAGATGCCTTATTCTAAGTTATTTCGAATTAACTATTTTGAAATTAGATATTTCGAAATAACGCTGTAGTGTGGACATACCCTGACAGTCTCTGCCCAGAAGAGGGTACAATCTAATGGAAACTTTTACTTACTAATAATCATTCAAAGGGGGAAAGAAGGGAGAGAGGAGGAGAGGACGCATCAAAATGTGCAGCTAGTATTTGCTTTGAACTATTCCACTCGCTCTAGGACTCAGCTGTTTTAGCTTGTGAGGTTGGACAAGTTCATGCCTCAAGATTGCTTGGCTGTGCACTCTAGGGCAGTGTTTCTTAAACTTTTTAAGATGGAGGAACACTAAACAATATTTTTTTTTTGTTGAGCCAAAAAAAAAAAAGAGGCCGGGGGAAAGTTATTGAGGAAGAAAAAAACGTCGCCTCAGAACGTGGCCATTTTGAACTCCGTTGTTCTCCGCGGCACACCTCCAACTGCCACAGAACACAGTTTAAGAAACACTGCTCTAGGGGCAAGTCTACACTGCACACTTATTTTAGAATAAGAAATACTCTGAAATAGCTTATTTTGAAATAGCGCATCTACCTTACAAGGAAGCCTCAAAATTAATCCGAGGCAGGCTTCCCAAATATGGATGCGCTACCTCGATTTAGAGCCCCAAGAGGCACTGCGGAATAATTATTCTGAATGGCCCTGGGGAGCAGCTATTTCAAAATAGCAGAAGCCGAGCATCCACACTACTGCTATTCTGAAATAGCTATTTCCAAATAGGCATTATTCCTCATGGAACGAGGTTTACAGAAGTGGGAATAAGCCACCCGCTAATTTGAATTTATTTCAAAATAACGGAATTGCTGTGAAGATGCTCGCTGTTCTATAGCGGAAATAACGCCGCTGTGTAGACCTACCATAACACTGAGCCAGAATTGCTCCTGCCGTGGTTTGACTGAGTCAATAAAGGCAGAAAACGTTATGGGAACAGCACGGCCAGAGCTGGATCCAAAGCCTTTCAAAGTCAATGGAAAGACTCCCTTTGACTCAATGTGCTTTGAACATTTATATTCTCATTGGTGTGTTCTGTTCTGTTGGGGAGGATGGGGGACTGTGGGCGCTCTATAAGCTAAGCAAACCTTTACTGGAAATGGCCCATTTAAGACATTAGGGCAAATTTCACCCTGCACTTCCTGGCATTGGGTTCTGCCCGCCTTGTCTTGATCTAACCAAATTCTCCAGCTGCTTCTCTTCTCTCCACTCATTGAGATGGGCTTGATTCTGCCCACTGCAGAATGCTACATGAAAGGAAATGGAAGCATCCAACTGTCGCCAAGCAAACCAACAGAGCGTGGCATTTAATGCCAACCTGCAATGTGTCTGGCCTGTGCATGCTGCCCTGCCCCATGTATACGCATTGCAACGCCGGTTCTAGCATCCAGGCCAGTGTCTCTTCTTCCCCTATGATGTGGCCTTCGGGGGAGAAGTACAAAGCAACCAGCCAGGGACTCAAGGCAGTGGAAGAAGGAGCAGCCAAAGCAGAGACTTTTGGACATCCTGCCTTTCTCTTCACTGTGCTAATGGGCGGTTCACTCCAACTCTCCCTCGTCCTTTCCACCTGCTCAACTCAGTTTCACACCCCACCTGCGCCCTTCCCCTCCAATTCACTTCTCCTTTGCCCTGCCCCCCCATCACTCTTCCTTCCATGTAGCCAATCCCCTGCTGACCCCTCCCCACAAATCCATCAATCAACAGAATAGCACCAACACGTTCGTTTGCTGCCATCCCACTGTGGCTTCTATCTCTTCCTCCACCCTGCATCTGTCTTGTCTTTGGTCTGTGGTTTGCTGGCATGGGGAGATATTTCCCTCTCCTTCTGGTGTTACTAATTCATGCACTGCCCCAGTGTTTCTTAAACTTTTTAAGAACCCATAATGTTCTTACATCAATGCCCATAACTGAGGTTCTGCGCTCAGACCTCACCTGACAGTATTCCAGATCCCTGCAGGACCCTGTGATCATCCAATCCAACCTCTTGTGTAACACAGAGCAGGGAACTTTTCCAAAATAACTCCCACAGATGATCTCTTAGACGTCCATCCAGTCTTGATTACACAATTATCAGTAACCAAGAATCCACCATGACCTTGGTAAATTGCTCCAATGACCCTGCCTCTTAAACATTTACCCTGATTTCCAGCCTGAATTTGTCTAGCCACAGGTCAGTATTTTTCCTCTCCCTGCTAGACTGAAAAGCCCTTTGTTATATGTTTGTTCCTCGTGTAAGTTCTCATAGTCTGTGCCATCACCCCCTAAATTCCACATTGTTACGCTGCATAGATTGCACTCTTTGTGTTAATTACTACAAGGCATGTTTTCATGTCCTTTAATCATTCTTATGGCTCTTCCCTGAACTCTCTCCAATTCATTACCACCCTTGAATTGTGGACACCAGAAATGGACACACTATTTCTGCCGTGGTCTCCTGTTGCCAAATACAGAGGAAAAAATAACCTTTCTGTTCCTCCTCAAGATTCTCCACTTCACGCAGCCCTGGGTTGCATTTGCTCTTTTGCCCCCAGCATCACACGTGCTCGGCTGAATATCCACAATGATCCCCAAACATTTTTCACCGCCACTGGATACCAGCATGGACTCCCCCACTTTGGGAGTGTGGCCTGTATTCTGGGTAGCTACATGTGTCCTTTTCAACTTAGCAGTATTACCAAGAAGATTGAGAGCTTGTGCCTGTTTTACTACGCAAAGCAGCTTGCTTTGAATCAGAGACCTGCCTTCTTCGTTATTTACCCCTCCTCCAATATTCTCCTCCTCTGCAAACTTTCCAATGATGATTTTATCTTTCCTTCCAGGTTGTGGATAAAAAAATAGTGTGGAGCCTGCAGGAGCCCCCTACAAATCCACATGGATGCTTCCCCTCTTACCATTATGTTTTGAGACCTAGCACATTTGCTGATGATGCGTGAGCCAGAATAGAACCCGGCTCATTCTCCCATCGCTTAAGGCCGCCTCTGCAGGGCTAAGAGGAGTGAAAACATGTATGTAAAATGGACTCAGGGCATTTCTCAGTCAGCAGGTGTTTTGGTTAAGAAAACTAAGGCCCTTTAACAGGATCTCATGTTGTGCTGAACAGATGTTTGCCCTGTCAAGTCACCAAAGTCTTTCTGATTTTTCTTACAGGTTCTCGGGTGTCTGTGCATATTTATTCTCTTCATAGGAACCCAAGCATATGGCAAGATCCTGAGGTACTTTCATATTACATAGAGAAGAGGTGGTCATGTAGTTTAGACAAAAAACTGGGTAGCAAGAGAGATGGGGGCTCTCCATGGCTTTGCCATACACTTCCTTAAGCAAGGCATTACTTTATTTCTCCCTTTCTCCATTTCCCCATGTGCAAAACCGGGATAATATTGACCTTACCAAGGGGTTTGCACTTGCATGCAAGTAGCATCTGTCCAGAAGAAAAGAGCAATAGCTCTGAAAAACAGGAGGCCGCCCTAATGATTCTGAGTACCATAGAATGGCAGAGTACCGGGTGGAATGGTCTGTCTTTACACACAGCCGTGTACATCCAGTGGAATAATGATTCATAGTGTTTGGGGACAAATGCACCAGATGATGCTCTTGGTTGTACCAGCAGCTCCTCCCAGTCGCCTGGCAGCTGTGGGGAGATTTCCAAGAGCGTTTACAGCTGAACGAGAGGGGCAGTAGCACTCCAGTCTCAGCACAAGGCCTCACTCTGTGGTGGAGGGCTATACAGGAGATGTGTTAGGACAGCATCTCCCCAACTTACAGGGTGCCTGCATGTCCCTGGTCAGCACAGCTCACATTTGGAAGGGGCTGGCTCTTTGTGGGAGGGGATGTCACCCGTCCCTTCTCACTGCTGCTGCCCTAGAAGAGTTTCCACGTCAGCGCCTGTGCATTGGGGTTACAGCAACAGAAACCCCTCTGGCCCTGGGCTAGAACTGACCTCACCTCAGCCTCTGAAATCGCACCCTGCGCCTAAGCTGAGAGTGTGGGCTGCTGCCAAATACACCATGTCTGCGTGTGTAAGGTTACAGGTGTAGAGCTGAACAATGCTGTAGTTTGGGAATAAAAGCCTTTCCCACAGGCAGCGGGGCTGACAGACTCACCAGGCCCCTGGGCGAGGTGAGGGCAGGCCCAGCTCCATATCCTCACAAGGGCTGGGGTCTCGAGAGGAAAGGGCACAGCTCCCACAATGATTTACAGGGTCGAGGGCGTCAGCCACCGCCGCTGCTATTGAATCACTGGGCCTCACCACAGACCTGTGAACTCTCTCCCTGCAGGTGTTTGATCCCATGCGGTTTTCCCCAGAGAACGCGGCCCGGAGGCATTCCCATGCGTTTGTGCCCTTCGCGGCTGGAGCACGGTGGGGGATGTTTTTTTCTCTCTGTTGGGGGTGTGGGTTGGAAACAAAGCCAGGCTTTGGGCCAGGCTGCTCCTAATGCCCACTGAGCACTAACAGACTGGCGCTGTAGGGTTGTGTTTGTCACGTGAGGGAGGTGTCGGGGGGTCCCCTACATCAATGCACCGAACCAGAGTTTGGTTCTTAGTGACTGGCCCCTCTGGCCTCTCCTGTGTCTGCTTCACGATGCCCACAGATCCGGCCTGGCTCCCATTTGGCAGGCCAAGGTCGTTTGGCAGAAGCACGGTGTGATGGTGGCGAGCTGCGCGCTCTGGGGGCTCTGAGTGAACCCCTCAGCTCTCAGGCCTCTCCTGGCTGGACCCTGCAATTCTCCCACTCACAGACCAGGCCCGGCGGGACCCAACAGGCCCAGCCGAGGTCAGACCCCTGCAGTTCTTCCCTTCAGGGCTCTGTGGGCAGCCAGGCTGCTTACAGCCAAAGGCCTGGTTATTGCACAGCAGGGAGGAAGCACTTAGCAAGGGAAGATTTCAAACCTCCAAAGAGCCGACAGGCACGGCTATCCCACCCCTAGGCTGACCATCCCCTGATGAGAATATAAGCAGGCCTCACTTTCTCTCACCCACACAGGTCTCTGTGTCTCAGCCTGACTCCCCCAAGCAATTACCCCCCACTCTCAGAAGAGTGTGCCTGTTTAAACATAGCACTGTGCTCTTCATCCCCGGTGTTCAGGGGCCTTTTCCTCCCCTGGCATTGTCCCTTAACACAAGCGTTTTGACTTGTTTTGAGTCACAACATCACCTTTATGCTTTGATTTCCCCTCTGCCCCATATTAAAATGAACCCAAAATATTTGCACTGTGAGCATCCCCATAAACCAATCGTCACCCTTAGTTATTACAGAGGAGCTGCAGATACATCACTCATGGGACTCTCCATCGCACGGAGAGAGAGGTATTCCATGAACGTGTGGCAGTTAATGACACTGAAAGCCAATGGGAATTAGGTGCCTAATTGCCATTTGTGCATTTGGAAAATTTCTCCTGCAGTCAGCTAATATCTCTTGGCACTAGCGTGCGGGAAAAACGGTATCAGTGCCCTGTTTTAAAACTGCCTGGTAGCGTTGCTGTGCACTATTAAACAGCTGCCATATTGTAACCCAGTAGAGGTAGCTCTACAGTGGTGGGTGCAGGGACCCCTAGGCAGTAGGAGCCAAAACCTCCGGTTGAGCTGAGGACCCCAGTGTGCTAGGTGCTGTACACACACAGGGGAGATGGTCGCTGACCCAGCGAGCTGGGTTGCCCCACTCCGCTAGCAAAGTGCCGCGGGTGTATTTGTGAAGGGAAGCTGCTGGCAAAGCCAGAGCGTCCATTCTGACAGGCTCTCCCCGCCTCTTCCAGGAACTGCATCGGGCAGCAGTTTGCCATGAACGAGCTGAAAGTGGCCCTGGCCCTGACTCTGCTCCGTTTCGAGCTTTCTCCTGATCCAGCCAAACCGCCCAAGGAAATTCCTTATCTTGTCCTCAAGTCCAGCACTGGGATCCACCTGCTCTTGAAGAAACTGCATTGACGCCAGAGAAACCCTGTGTCAGGTGTCAGCAGGATCGGCTTGTTTCCAAGGGAACGCAATCAATGGGTGTTTTCACAGAACACTAGAACTGGAAGGGACCTCCAGAGATCATGAAGTCCAGTCCCCTGCCCTCACAGCAGGACCAAGCACCATCTAGATTATCCCTGACAGGTGTCAGTCTAACCTGCTCTTAAATATCTCCAGAGATGGAGATTCCACAACCTCCCTGGGCAATTTATTCCAGTGTTTAACTACCTTGACAGTTAGGAAGCTTTTCCTAATGTCCAACCTAAACCTCCCTTGCTGCAGTTTAAGCCCATTGCTTCTTATCCGATCCTCAGAATCCAGGGAGAACAATTTTTCTCCCTCCTCTTGTAACACCCTTTTAGATACTGGACACTTGCTATCATGTCCCTTCTAAGTCTTCTTTTTTCTAAACTAAACAAACCCAATTCTTTCAGTCTTCCCTCATAGGTCATGTTTTCTAGAATGTTAATAATTTTTTTTGCTCTTCTCTGGACCTTTTCCAATTTCTTCACATCTTTCTTGAAATGTGGTGCCCAGAAGTGGACACAATACTCCCACTGAGTCCTACTTACCACAGTGTAGAGTGGAAAAATGGCTTCTCGTGTCTTGCTCACAACACTCCTGTTAATACATCCCAGAATCATGTTTGGTTTTTTTGCAACAGTGTCACGCTATGGACTCCTATTTAGCTTGTGGTTCACTATGACGCCTAGCTCCATTTCTGCAGTACTCCTTCCTAGACAGTCACTTCCCAATCTGTATGTGTGAAACGGATTGTTCCTTCCTAAGTGGAGCACTTTGCATTAAACTTCGTCCGATTTATTTCAGACCATTTCTCCTGTTTGTCCAGATCATTTTGAATTATGAACCTACTAGCTGGAGTTACCCGGCATTGCTCAGGAAATGTAGAAAAACAGTAGTCCGTTATCTTTTTTTGAATGGTAGAAAAGTTGCAGTGATTTCTATTGGGATAAAAATATAGGTCCGTGTCATCCCTGGGGGGCAGAGGGGGTGCAACCCCAGGTGGAAGTGAGGTTACACATGGGAGGGACGCCCCAGCTTGCGCCCAGGGCTGCAGGTGCCGCGGGGGGCAGGGCGGGTGCCCAAGCTGTTGTACATGTGGGGGTCGGGGCACTGCATGCCAGCCTGGGGTGGGAGGGCGGAAAGAGGGTCACTTATGTAACCTTGCATGCAGGAGGGGGCGAGTCCTGGATGGCGCTGGGGGCCACAGGTGGCGGGCATGGGACCTACGGTGGGCGGGGCAGTCGCAACGCGGAGGGTTACTTTTTGATTTTTACAGCTTGAGTTTGGGCCCGATTGGGTCCAAAAGTACCTTAAAACTTTCTCCTGGAGGAAAGGTTATCCCATGCAAAGTTTGGTTGCAGTAGCTCTTATAGTATCCAAGTTATTAGCGCACAAACTTACGAACATTCTCCTTTATATATTAGATTATGCAGCTTCTTAAAACCCCACTTGTTATGCTCTTCCGGCATGACCGTGAACCGTTAATAACTACTCTCTGGAAATGGTTATCCAGCCAGTTATGCACCCACCTTATTGTAACCCCATCTAGGTTGTAGTTCCCTAGTTGATTGATAAGGTCATGCGAGAACATATAAAATGCTTTACTAATGTCTAGGAATACCATGTCCACTGCTTTCTCCTTACCCTGTAGGTTTGTTATCCTATCAAAGAAAGCTATCAGATTTTTTTTTTTTTGGACAGCACCCCTTCAGCCAACCTGTTCCACAGCCTTCCCCGAATCCTCAGCCTCAGCTGCTTTCTCTGGGCCCTTCTCCACCCCCAGAGCTGGGTGAGCAGCAGTCTTGGCAGGAGACCACAGGGCCTGGGCCTGTGGGTAAAGCACCTCGTCCCTGGCTAGGAAGCACTTTCACCCATCGGTGCCATGTGCGCTGGGTGCTGAGCCAGCACGTCCCTGGGTCCCAACCCATGCAGGACCGAGGGCAGCACGTGTCCCCTTCCCGCAGCCCCTCACTCTGGGTCCTGGGGGCACAAGCAGAGCTCGGGGTACAATGTCACATCTCTTCTAAAATGGAGACTAGAGAGCGGCACTGATATGAACCTAGTTCTCCTTCCTCTGGTATCTCCTCAGTTCCCATCCTACGAGGGCCCAGTGATCCAACTAGGGTTGCAGGCCTCCATAGACTGAGATTTTTGCCACTAGCGCAGCCCCCTAGTGTAAACTCAGTTTACACAGGTACACTGTAATTTGCAGTAGTGCCTAACCAGCAAATGTAGACGAGGCCCAACACTTATCCCCAGATAGTAGCACATCAGTCTATTTTGCATGGATCACTTGCCCACCCAGCCTTACAGAGAGCTGGCCCCAGACAAACATCAACAAGAAAGGTGTGAATTCCACCCTCAAGGCCTCTGTCATCCCCAATGAAGGACTAACCTCCAGGCTTGGCAGGGAAGATAGACGTGTGAATTGAGCCAAGTCTCCCAGTTGAGAGACCCAAAATTCCCGTGGGCCTCTGCCTCTGACATGGGCCGAACCAAAACTCCAGAGCATCTCAGGGAGTAGCAGTGTTCACTCACCTCTCAACTGGGAGGTAGGAGATTACCTCTTGTCCCTGAATCAGGGAATAGGCCGGTGCTGATTTTCTCTGGGACTTATGCTTCTACATCACCTAGGCTGTGTCTAGACTAGCCAGGTTTTCCGGAAAATCAGCCGCTTTTCCGGAAAAACGTGCCAGCTGTCTACACTGGCCACTTGAATTTCCGCAAAAGCACTGACTTCCTACTGTAAGAAATCAGTGCTTTTTGTGGAAATACTATGCTGCTCCCGTTCGGGCAAAAGTCCCTTTTGCGCAAAACTTTTGTGCAAAAGGGCCAGTATAGACAGCTGAGATTTGTTTTGCGCAAAAAAGCCCCGATGGCGAAAAGGGCGATCGGGGCTTTTTTTCGCAAAAGAGTGTCTAGATTGGCCATGGATGCTTTTCCGCAACAAGTGCTTTTGCGGAAAAGCGTCCGTGCCAATCTAGACGCTCTTTTCCGCAAATGCTTTTAACGGAAAAGTTTTCCGTTAAAAGCATTTCCGGAAAATCATGCCAATCTAGACGTAGCCCTGGTGTGACAGGGTCAGGCCAGAAAGATACAAAAGAGCTACATTAGCCTCACACTGAGTAAATCTCTGTTCCCAGGGCAAACTGGCAGGGGCTAGTCCAGAATCAGCCAGAACTTGCCGGAATCAATCAGAGCACCTGGAGCAGATAAGCACCTGGAGCTCATTAAGTGGGCTGACAGAGTTAAGTGAGCCAAGGCTACTTAGAACACCTGGAGCCAATTAAAGAACCAGTCAAGACTGGTTATAAAAAGAGCTTCTCTGCGGTTAGTTAGTGCATGAGAAGTTGAGAAGTTGGAGCGCTGCAGAGAGTCTAGAACAGCAAGCACCAGTGGAGAGAAGGAGGAAGAGCCTGAGGTAAGGAAGGTTCTAGGGAAGGGGTGTGTGTGTGTGTGTGTGTATTGTTGCTGTCTCGCAGCTGGTATTACAGCGCCCCGGGCTGGGACATGGAGTAGACTGTGGGCCTGGGTTCCACCAACCCCGACTTCCCCATTTCCACTCGGGGAAAAGACTAGCTGGGGAGAAGAAAGGAGTTTACCCAGCCCTGTATCATTTGGGGCTCCACCGAGACTGTGGAGTTTGGTTTCCCATAGCACCTCATGCTGGCTAATGATGACGGTAACTCAGCAAGCTGATGCCCTAAGGGTGGTGCCTAAACGGAGGGCTGCCGTGAGCCTCTGAGGCATGCAAACCCGCCTGAAAGCACAGGACCCACCAACTCTGACTAGGAGCTTTGCCGCACGAGGTGCTTGTGAAAAGTGCCGCTCTGCTTCGGCTTAGGTGCTTTGGCGCGATAGCTCAGGCATGCGCCTGGCACTCAGGCAGTTCTCTCCATGATGGCGCAGAGAAGATGGAAGCATTGTCCTCTATAATAGTGTTGACTCTCCGAATTCTTTGTTCTGGGAGACTTCTTCATTAACGTCAACATGGCCTTGAATGCAAAACTCTCACCCAAGATTACCTTAAGGCAGGGGTGGGGGACTTCAGACCCAAGGGCTGGATGTGGCCCCTGGCTTGCCCAGATCCAGCCCCTGAGACTCGGGGCTTCCCCATAGCATTGGGGAGCGTGTACTGGTGCTCCAGCCCCTCTCCTTGTGGGGTGGGAGGACACAAAATCTACTAGCCTGGCCCGCCTAGACTCTGATACACAAGGAGAATGTGGGAAGTGCTTTTCTCTGTCAGGGGCCATGTCAATGAGGGGGCTGGTTTTGTTTTGTTTTGTTTGTTTTGCCTTTCACTTATGTGCATCCCCTGACTGATTTTTTTTCTGTGGGTGAGTGGCCCCCAACCCAGAAAAGGTTCCCCACCCCTGCATTAATGTACTGCTCGCATACAGCACTCATTGGATAGCCCACAGGAACAACAAACATCTCAGCTTTTTCCATTCCAGAATATCTCCCCAAGGGGGCGACGGTGATGTCTGATTTTATCAAAATACTCTCAACAACACCTGGATAAGTAATTGAGGCATCAAAAAAGCACCACAGCTCTTTATTAAGGGATTCAACTGCAGAAGGGGTTGACAGAGTCACATCCTGACAAAATTGCCGCTCATTTAGTAAATGTGGATTTCCAAAAGCAACAAAGCATTGCACCTTTAATAACACCCACGCCCTGTTCTCTGTTGCAAATCCCGAGCAAAGCCATTGAGCACAAAGGGATTATACAGTGGATTTGCACCTGTGGAAGTGAGAGCAAAATACGGCTTTTAGCAGTGATTAAATCACACTGCATTTAACAAAGTCTTGCATCCACCAATTTTTCCGTCTTGACCCAAAGACAAATAGGCAGCTCACTTCCCAGTGTGCAGGAGGAAAATACTCCGCTCTCCTACAGTGGCAGACACAACGTTAAGGTCCTTGCTGCTTTGTAAGGCAGGCTGAAAGGGACAGACAATGGTCACTGAAAAAAGCCAACAGACAGAAGTTTTTCCATATAGAACATAACTGTGTCCTTGCTACACTGGGTTTCAGACCCAGCGCTTTCCTGTTGTAGTTTCATTCATGTCCTTGCATATGGTGTATCTATTAACATCATAGTCCCAGTTCTGACCGGATATGTATTGGCATAGCTCCAAATCAAAGAAGCGATGCCACTTTACACCGGCTGAGGATCAGGACCTATAAGAACACGTTTGTCCTTTTCCGCCTCTACCCCTAATCCTGTGCTCCCATCACCCCGCAGATCGCCTCTCGGCATCCTAGTCAATTGTACTTTCGGCCCACCGGCCCCTTTTTACGTTGGAGGTCGGCTCGCCTCCCGCGATGGGGAGGAGGGGGGTCCGGGCCCACCCCCTCTCACGGACCCCAGCCCAGGGCCCTAAGGACTCGAATGTCAAGGTTGTCTGGCCCGGCTGGCGGGGCATCTGCCTTAACGTGCCAGCCCACAGGCTCCCTTTGCCCGCCCTGGGCTGCTTCCCCCCCCCCCCTGGGTTTGCCCTGCCGAGTCGGGGCTTACCTCCTCGGCTTGGGGCCCATCTGTTGTTCTCTTCCGTGGGAAGATGCTCTCAGCGCTCCCCCCCTCCAGCGATGCCAGCCGGGGTTTAAATCCCCGCGCCGCTGCTCGCCAGCGGGGCCCCGCCCGGCCCGGCATGGGCTCGCTTCTGGCCCGGTGCCGCGGCTACGGGGTGACGTCACGGGCATCGTGGAACCGCCAGGCATACGGCTCCCGGGCGCATCAGAGTGCGGGGCGCTTCTGCCCTGTCACAGAGGGTCTACCTGGCAACCCTATAACTCAGACCCGGTGCAGGCACCAAGTGATAGGGACTGCCAGAACTTTGGGAACCAGAGACTGTGGGGTGGGGATTTGTGCCCCAAAAGGGGGCTGAGAAACCTAAGAAAGACAGAGTAGAGGGAGCACCAGAAGGGTGACAGTTAGGGCGACCCTAGAACTCTGTTAGGGTCTGTCTACACTACCCCCCTAGTTCGAACTAGGGTGGTAATGTAGGCAACCGGAGTTGCAAATGAAGCCAGGGACTTGAATTTCCCGGGCTTCATTTGCATATTGCCGGGCGCCGCCATTTTTAAATGTCCGCTAGTGCGGACTCCGTGCCGCGCGGCTACACGCGGCATGAACTAGGTAGTTCGGACTAGGCTTCCTATTCCGAACTACCGTTACTCCTCATGAAATGAGGAGAGAGGCAGGCCGGGGCTTCATTTGCATAAACTGGATGCTGCCATTTTTAAATCCCTGCTCGTTCGAACCCCGTGCCACGCGGCTACACGCGGCATTAACTAGGTAGTTCGGACTAGGCTTCCTATTCCGAACTACCGTTACTCCTCATGAAATGAGGAGAGAGGCAGGGCAGGCATGCAGAGGGAGGTGTTAGGAGAGGGGATGAGGAGGGGTAGCTCACATGATCAGAGTGGGGCTACTGGAGGAGTGGGCACGGGGGGAGAGAAGGGCTGGTGGAGGGGGGCAGGTCTCAGGAAGGCTGAGGGCAGTGAGAAGGGCAGGAGTCAGGCCAGCAGAGGAGGGTGAGGAGTTGGGGGGCAGCAGGCACCAGGAGAGATGATGGAGCAAGGAGAGGCGACATGGCAGCAGAGAGAGGTTTATAAAATATTTATTAATAAATTGGTATGCTGCTCACGGCCACTTTGTTTGCGCCCCACGGTGCAGTTTGGATTTATGTGGGGATCAACACGTGGCCAGTGAGTGGGAGCCAAAACAAAGAAGTAGTCAGTGTAATGATCTTCTGTTGATATGTGTTTTAGTAGTTAAATTCTTGGACTGTCATTGCTCATGAAAAGTGCTGTCACATGGGTAGAAATCGGGTAAATATTGCATTTTATTAATATCAGCAGAACTGACTTAAATGGGGCCTGTGTGTTGTGTAGTCTTGCATGAGGGGGATTTGGTGAGGGCCAAACTAATCCCTATTGGTAAGAGGATGGTGGGAAAAGTCCTTGGGGGGGGATCACATGACACCTTTTATTTCTGGTCATGTGTCCATATTGCCCCGAAAGTGTTACCTCGAGAGGCGTGGCTAATGGGGGTCAGAGGGTGTGGCTAATGGGGGTCAGAGGGTGTGGTTAATGGGGGTCAGGGATGTGGCTAATGGTAGTCAAAGAGTACATTTAAAAAACATTCTTTGGGTGCCCACCCTAACGAAATGTTCTGCGCACGCCTATGAACATGTGATTTTTTTAATCTTCATCAATAAAAAATGTGCACTCAAAACTGGAGGCCTCATCAACACAGAGTGGAGCAGAAGAATTATTTCTTGTGGCTTTCTCACAACACTGCTGTTACTATATCCCTGGCTGATATTTGCTTTTTTTGCAACAGTGTCACACTGCTGACTCATATTTTGCTTGTGGTCCACTATAAGCCCAAATACCTTTCTGCAATACTCCTTCCTTGACAGTCACATCCCATTCTGTATGTGTGAAACTGATTTTCCTTTCTAAGTGGAGCACTTTGCTTTTGTCCTTAATAAACTTCATCTTATTTACTTCAGAACATTTCTCCAGTTTGTCCAGCTCACTTACCTTCCTTCCTTCCCCCCCCCCCCCTACCCAATGTGATTTGTCCTTTTCATATTTGTTCATTTTTTTAAATTGTATCCTTTGGTATAGTCTTTAAAGTGCTACATTGTCCTGCATTTTGCTTCACCAACCTCCAAAGCACTTGAAATGCCTCCCAGCTTGGTATCATCTGCAAACTTAATAAGCATTCTCTCTATACCATTATCTAAATGGTCAATGAAGATATTAACAGAAATGGTCCCAAAATTGATCCCTGAGGAACTCTTCCAGCTGTGAACTATTGATAACTACTCTCTGGGAACAGTTATCCAACCAGTCATGCACCCATCTTACAATAGCCCCTTTCAGGTTGTATTTCCCTAGTTTATTAATCAGAAGATCATGAAAGACTGTTTCAAATACTTTACTAAAGTCTAAGTATAGCACATCTACCACTTCCCCCTTATCTGCAAGGCTTGTTATCCTATCGCAGAAAGCTATTATGTTGGCTTACAAATCCATGTTGGCTGTTACTTATCACCTTTTATCTTCTAGATATTTGCAAATCAATCCCTTAATTATTTGCTCTAATATCTTTACTGGCACAGAAGTTAAGCTGACTGACCTGTTTCCTGGATTGTCATTTTCTTTTTTGTAGATGGGCATTATATTTGCCCTTTTCCAGTCTCTCCTGTCTTGCACGACTTTTCAAAGATAATAGATAATGGTTCATCTATCTCCTCAATCAACTCTTAGGCTGCGTCTAGACTGGCAAGCGGCTGCTTTTGCGCAAAAACTTGCCAGCTGTCTACACTGGCTGCTTGAATTTGTGCAAGAGCACTGACTTTGTAATGTACAAAATCAGTGCTTTTTGCGCAAATACAATGACGCTCCCGCTCGGGCAAAAGCCCTCTTGCACACATGCTTTTGCGCAAGAGGGCCAGTGTAGACAACCCAGAACTGTTTTGCGCAAAAAATCCCCGATGGCTAAAATGGTGAAGAAACAAAGAAATCTTAAAGCACCTCTGCCATTTCCACATTTTCTGCTATTCCCCTCTTCACTTGGTAATGATCTTTCTCTGTCCTTGGTCTTCCTCTTCCTTCTAATATATTTGTACAAAGTTTTCTTGTTACCCTATATGTCTCTTGTGCCTTGGCCTTCCTAAGTTTGCCTCTACATGCTTTCATTATTTGTTTGCATTCATCCTATGTAACTTGACCTCATTCAGATTTGGAGCAAAACTTTCCACTGGCCTCTGTTTCTATCATGAGCCAAACCAAAACTCCTGAAGAGCTCAGTAAGTAGCAGTGTTCACACACCTCCCAACTGGAAGACTTGACCCACGTCAATCTTCCCAGCCACGCCTTGAGGTTAGTCCCTCATTAGCGTTGGGACTGGGCATGGGCGTGGAATTCCTACCTTTCTTGTGGATGTGTGTCTGGGGCCAGCTCTCTGCAAGGCGTGGGGACGGGGTGATAAGTGATTGGTGCAAAACAGACCAATGTGCTGCCATGTGGGAGAAAGTGTTGGGGCTAATCTACACTAGGAGGTGAGGGACTAGTGCAAATTACAAAGCACCGGTGAAAATTGTGTTGACATTGAGGTTTGTGCTAGTGCCTAAATTTGCAGTGTATGGAGGCCTGAAACCCCCAGCTAGATCACTGGGCTCTAACGATGGCAACTGAGGAGACACCAGAGGAAGGCGAGCTAGGTCCGTTTCGGTGATGCGCCCGACAGTCTGTGCTAGAGAAGAGATGTGACATTGCACCCCGAGCTCTGCTTGTGCCCCCAGGACCCAGCGTGAGGGGCTGTGGGAAGGGGACAGGTGCTGCCCTCGGCCCTGCATGGGTTGAGACCCAGGGACGTGCTGGCTCAGCACCCAGCGCACATGGCACCGATGGGCGAAAGTGATTCCTAGCCAGGGACAAGGTGCTTGTGATGCTTCACTCCCCATAGCGAGGCCCTGTGGTCTCCTGCCAAGACTGCTGCTCACCCAGCTGTGGGGGTGGGCAAGGGCCCAGAGAAAGCAGCTGGGCCTGAGGATTCGGGGAAGGCTGTGGAACAGGTTGGCTGAAGGGGGGGGCTGTCCAAAAAAACACCCATTGATTGCGTTCCCTCGGGAAAGAGCCGATCCTGCTGACACGGGGCTCCAGAGCTTCTCAGTGCAGTTTCTTCAAGAGCAGGTGGATCCCAGTGCTGGATCTGAGGACAAGCTGAGAAATTTCCTTGGGCGGTTTGGCTGGATCAGGAGAGAGCTCGAAACGGAGCAGAGTCAGGGCCAGGGCCACTTTCAGCTCGTTCATGGCAAACTGCTGCCCGATGCAGTTCCTGGAAGAGGCGGGGAGAGCCTGTCAGAATGGACGCTCTGGCTTTGCCAGCAGCTTCCCTTCACAAATACACCCGCGGCACTTTGCTAGCGGAGTGGGGCAACCCAGCTCGTTGGGTCAGCGACCATCTCCCCTGTGTGTGTACAGCACCTAGCCCGCCAGCAAGTGCAGCCGGGGTGATGGCCGAGTGCTGTGATGTGCTGAGTGTGGGCATTCAGGGCACTCCAAGCCAGGACTGCTTTGCAGGCGAGGAACCCCTGGGAACTGTCCGTCCGGGGTGGGGGTCAGGACCCTTTAAGCACAGCACTCGGCTATCTTGAGACAGCATCTCCACGCTCTAAGTCCTAATCTGATGCCCTGCCAGCACTGCTTCCGGCCATCCTTAACCTCGGTTCAGGGTCCACTCAATGTGGACATGCTAGTTCGAATTAGCGAAATGCTAATTTGAACTAGTTTTTAGGTCTAGATTCACTAATTCGAATTAGCTTAATTCGAATTAATTAAGTTAGTTCGAATTAGTGCTGTAGTGTTGACATACCCTAAAGGTGACTGTGCCCATGGAATTAATGCATTGTTTATGGTGCAAATATTTTGGGTTAAGTTTAATAGGGGGTGGTTGGGAAAACAAGTAGGAAGACAAAAGAGAGTTTCACAGTAAGCCACTTCCCCTTCTCACTCCTCCCCCTCCCCCACCAAGCACTCTGCTAGGGGAGCAAACATCCCATGAATGCGAGAGATCAAAAGCACCGTGATGTGTTTGAAAATGGCACACTCTTCTGAGAGTGGGGGGCAAAGTTCCCTCTATTGTTTTCCATCCATGTAAAGAATACATTTTTCTGTGTGCACCAAGGCAAGGAGGATGTGCAGCACTAATCAGCCGACAGCATTTGAATCTTTCCTGGGTGGCCACCCAGTTTCAGGGAACACAGGGACGGGTTATTTTTTGGAGGAGTCAGGCCGAGACACAGAGACCTGTGTGGGTGACAGAAAGTGAGGCCTGCCTGGATTCCCATCAGGGGATGGTCAGCCTAGAGGTGGGATAGCCGTGCCTGTCGGCTCTTTGGAGGTTTGAAATCTTCCCTTGCTAAGTGCTTTCTCCCTGCTGTGCAATAACCAGGCCTTTGGCTGTAAGCAGCCTGGCTGGCCACAGAGCCCTGAAGGGATGAACTGCAGGGGTCTGACCTCGGCTGGGCCTGTTGGGTCCCACCGGGCCTGGTCTGTGAGTGGGAGAATTGCAGGGTCCAGCCAGGAGAGGCCTGAGAGCTGAGGGATTCACTCAGAGCCCCCAGAGCGCGCAGCTCGCCACCATCACACCGTGCTTCTGCCAAAGGACCAGGGCCTGCCATATGAGAACCAGGGCAGCTCTGTGGGCATCGTGAAGCAGACACAGGAGAGGCCAGAGGGGCCAGTCACTAAGAACCAAACTCTGGTTCGGTGCATTGCTCTAGGGAACCCCCCCACACCTCCCTCACGTGACAGACACAACCCTGCAGCGCCAGCCTGTTAGTGCTCAGTGGGCATTAGGAGCAGCCTGGCCCAAAGCCTGGCTTTGTTTCCAACCGACACCCCCAAGAGAGAGAAAGAAACATCCCCCACCGTGCTCCAGCCGCGAAGGGCACAAACGCATGGGAATGCCTCTGGGCCGCGTTCTCTGGGGAAAACCGCATGGGATCAAACACCTGGAGGGAGAGAGTTCAGAGGTTGGTGGCAAAGGTTTTTTTTGTTCCCAAACTACCACATTGCTCGGCTCTACACCTGCAACCTTTCACACCCAGACATGGTGCATTCGGACACAGGCCGCCCCCCTCAGCTTAGGCGCAGGGTGCGATTTCAGAGGCTGAGGTGAGGTCAGTTCTAGCCCAGGGCCAGAGGGGTTTCTGTTGCTGTAACCCCAATGCACAGGCGCTGACGTGGAAACTCTTCTAGGGCAGCAGCAGTGAGAAGGGACGGTGACGTCCCCTCCCACAAAGAACCAGTCCCTCCCAAATGTGAGTTGTGCTGACCAGGGACATTCAGTCACCCTGTAAGCTGGGGAGATGCCGTCTTAGCACAACACTTATGCAGCCCCCTACCAAAAGGGTGAGGCCTTGTGCTGGGACTGAAACGCTACTGCCCGTCTCCTTCAGCTGTAAATGCTCTTGGAAATGTCACCACAGTTGTCAGAAGACTGGGGCTGCGTCTAGACTGAAGGCTTCTTTTGCAAGAAGCTTTTCTGGAAGAGATCTTCTGAAAAAAGTCATCTGAAAGAGAGCGTCCACACTGTCAAAGTGCATCGAAAAAACAATCTGCTTTTTCGAAAGTTAGTGTCCATTCAGCGTGGACGCTCTCTCGCATTTCAGCTGTGATTACTACGCACGGAGTGACCACCAGAGCACCTCTGCTTTTTCCTCTTCCCTCTTCTTTCGAAAGAACTCCCTCTTCTCTGTCCACACACGCCTTTTCCCAAAAGAGCTCTCTTGGAAAAAGGCTTCTTCCTCATAAAAAGAGGTTTACCAATGTCAGAAAAATCCCTCTGTTCTTTTGATTTGTTTTCAAAAGAACATGATCGCAGTGTGGACGTAAGTGAAGTTTTTTCGGAAAAATGGCCATTTTTCCAAATAAACTCTGTAGTGTAGATATAGCCTGGGAGAAGTTGCTGGTACAACCAAGAGCATCATCTGGTGCATTTGCCCCCAAACACTATGAATCATTATTCCACTGGACATTTACATACACGGCTGTGTGTAAAGACAGACCATTCTACCCGGTACTCTGCCTTTCTATGGTACTCAGAATCGTTAGGGCAGCCTCCTGGTTTGCGGATCTATTGCACTGTTCTTCTGGACAGATGCTACTTGACCTGGGTAAGGTCAATATTATCCTTGCTTTGCACACAGGGAAATGGAAAAAGGGAGAAACAAGCAAAGCTTTGCTCAAGGAAATTTGAGGCAGAGCCATGGAGATCCATGCTACCCAGTCCCTTGTCCCAATTATATGACCAGCTCTTCTTTCTGTGATGTGAAAAGTACCTCTGGATCTTGCCAGACACTTGGGTTCCTATGAAGACAGTAAATATGCACAGACACCCGAGAACCTGTAAGCAAAATAAAAAAAACAACAACTTTGGTGACCTGACAGAGCAACATCTGTTCAGTACAATACAAGAGCCTGTTAGAGGGCCTTAGTCTTCTCAGCCAACACTCCTGCTGTCTGAGAAATGTCCTGAGTCCATTTTACATACATGTTTTCACTCCCCTTAGCCCTGCAGAGGTGGCATTAAGTGATGGGAGAATGAGCTGGGTTCTATTCTGGCTCACACATCATCAGCAAATGTGATGGGTCTCACAGTGTAATTGTAAGTGCAGAAGCAGTATCGAGCTATGGGTTTATCATGGGGAGAGACAGGCTCTACACAATTGAGCTTTTTTTTAAATCAACAATCTGGAAGAAAAGATAAAATCATCACTGATCACACATGAAGATGGCACAAAGTGTGGGGAAGCAGTCAGTAATGAAGCAGGCAGGTTACACTGGTCTACAATTTTTTAGAAGTCGTCTGCTTCAGAGATAAAATGTGCTATTTATTATGTTTTTTATGTGCTGAATTCAAATATGACAATTAAAACAACTGATTGGCTACTGTTTCCAAGATATTGGCTACTGTTTCCAAGTTTTTACATTTTACGTCTATGCATATTGTGTAGATAGTAGAGTTTTAATCATAAATTGTAAACCTAGGTCTTTTCATGTGTTTATGGTTGCTTTACATGATTATATTTCACCTGTCCTGTTTATGTAACACTTTAAAAATCAGCAAAAGGGTTATATAAATAAAATTTATTATGAAACAAAAGGCAAAAAACTATTATGTACATAGTTTAGTCCTATTCAGTGTCTACTCAGTGCTTCTTGGCTTGTCTCTTGTATTCATTAAATGCTTGTCGCTCACTGCTCTGCAGTTCAGTGGAAAAAAATCTAGATGAGAGGGAGTGGGGGGCCCAGAACTGGCTGCAATACTCCAGAAGTGGCCTCTCCAGAGCCAGATAAAGGGGCATAATCACTTCCCTAGATCTGTTGACAATGCTCCTCCTAATGCAACCTAATATTCCATTCACCTTCTTGGCTACAAGGGTACAGTGTTGACTCATAATCAGCTTCTCATCCGTTGTAACCCCCAGGTGCTTTTCTGCTGAGCTGCTACTTAATCAGTCAGTCCCCAGCCTGTAACAATGCTTGGGATTCTTCCCTCCCAAGTGCAGTATTCTACAGATTTCTTTTGTCCCAATCCTCTAATCTGTCTAGAGATTGCTTGAGATAAGCCACTGTTCCTCAAATGCTTGTGTTAAGAGTAAAAACCAGGAGAGGAAAAGACCCCTGAACTCAGGGGATGAAGAGCACAGTGCTATGTTTAAACAGGCACACTCTTCTGAGAGTGGGGGGTAATTGCTTGGGGGAGTCAGGCTGAGACACAGAGACCTGTGTGGGTGGGAGAAAGTGAGGCCTGCTTATATTCTCATCAGGGGATGGTCAGCCTAGGGGTGGGATAGCCGTGCCTGTCGGCTCTTTGGAGGTTTGAAATCTTCCCTTGCTAAGTGCTTCCTCCCTGCTGTGCAATAACCAGGCCTTTGGCTGTAAGCAGCCTGGCTGCCCACAGAGCCCTGAAGGGAAGAACTGCAGGGGTCTGACCTCGGCTGGGCCTGTTGGGTCCCACCGGGCCTGGTCTGTGAGTGGGAGAATTGCAGGGTCCAGCCAGGAGAGGCCTGAGAGCTGAGGGATTCACTCAGAGCCCCCAGAGCGCGCCGTTCACCATCATCACACCGTGCTTCTGCCAAACGACCTTGGCCTGCCAAATGGGAGCCAGGGCAGCTCTGTGGGCATCGTGAAGCAGACACAGGAGAGGCCAGAGGGGCCAGTCACTAAGAACCAAACTCTGGTTCGGTGCATTGCTCTAGGGAACCCCCCCACACCTCCCTCACGTGACAGACACAACCCTGCAGCGCCAGCCTGTTAGTGCTCAGTGGGCATTAGGAGCAGCCTGGCCCAAAGCCTGGCTTTGTTTCCAACCCACACCCCCAACAGAGAGAAAAAAACATCCCCCACCGTGCTCCAGCCGCGAAGGGCACAAACGCATGGGAATGCCTCCGGGCCGCGTTCTCTGGGGAAAACCGCATGGGATCAAACACCTGCAGGGAGAGAGTTCAGAGGTCGGTGGCAAAGGTTTTTTTTGTTCCAAAGTACAACATTGCTCGGCTCTACACCTGCAACCTTTCACACCCAGACATGGTGCATTCGGATACAGGCCACCCCCCTCAGCTTAGGCGCAGGGTACGATTTCAGAGGTTAAGTGAGGTCAGTTCTAGCCCAGTGCTAGAGGGGTTTCTGTTGCTATAGCCCCAACGTAAAGGCGCTGACGGGGAAACTAGGGATGTTAGCTATTGGGCAATTGAATTGAATAGGAATTTTAGCTGTTACATGACAAGAGGGAGAGAGTTCAGAGGTTGGTGGCAAAGGTTTTTTTTGTTCCCAAACTACCACATTGCTCGGCTCTACACCTGCAACCTTTCACACCCAGACATGGTGCATTCGGACACAGGCCGCCCCCCTCAGCTTAGGCGCAGGGTGCGATTTCAGAGGTTAAGTGAGGTCAGTTCTAGCCCAGTGCTAGAGGGGTTTCTGTTGCTATAGCCCCAACGTAAAGGCGCTGACGGGGAAACTAGGGATGTTAGCTATTGGGCAATTGAATTGAATAGGAATTTTAGCTGTTACATGACAATTCGATAGTCCCCTGGGGTGGGGCCAGCTGCAAATGTTCCCAGCCGCACTCCTGGGGAGCCCCCTGCCACCCCGCACTGCTGCCTCTGTATCAGTGGACAGTAGCACCTGTCCACAGACCCTCCATGTGTGGCGTGTCTGCTTGAAATCCAGCTCCCCGCATGTACCAGCTCCCGCCTGCGCCTATCTCCCTCCATGCTGCTGCCTCTCTATCAGAGGCCACCTGGAGCCAGCATGTGTGGGGTGTCTCCTTGAAAGCCAGCTCCCCACATGTACCAGCTCCCACCTGCGCCTCTCTCCCTTCATGCTGCTGCCTCTCTATCAGAGGCCACAGCACAGGGGTGGGGGTAGGTGGACCTGGAGCCAGCTTTTAAGCTAGCTCTTCACAGGCACTGGCTCCAGCTCTTCCTTCTTCCCACCCCCCCCATTCCCACCCCTCCGCTGTCTCTGAGAGTGCTCATAGTCGTCAAGATTAACCGGCAAACCCAGGCTTAGCAGTTAATCGTGTAGTCGTCTACACAGCAACATCCCTAGAGGAACCTCTTCTAGGAGAGAAACAGAATGAAGGGACAGTGACCTCCCCTCCCACAAAGGGCCGGCACCCCCCAAATGTGAGCTGTGCCGACTGGGGACATGCAGCTAGGGAGGTGCTGTCGTAACACAACTCCTGTGCACCCCCCTACCAAAAGGGTGAGGCCTTGTGCTGGGACCGGAGGGCTACTGCCCCTCTGCCGTTCAGCTGTAAACGCTCTTGGAAATCTCCCCACAGCTGCCAGGCGACTGGGAGGAGCTGCTGGTTCAACCAAGAGCATCATCTGGTGCATTTGCCCCCAAACACTATGAATCATTATTCCACTGGACATTTACATACACGGCTGTGTGTAAAGACAGACCATTCTACCCGGTACTCTGCCTTTCTATGGTACTCAGAATCGTTAGGGCAGCCTCCTGGTTTGCGGATCTATTGCACTGTTCTTCTGGACAGATGCTACTTGACCTGGGTAAGGTCAATATTATCCTTGCTTTGCACACAGGGAAATGGAAAAAGGGAGAAACAAGCAAAGCTTTGCTCAAGGAAATTTGAGGCAGAGCCATGGAGATCCATGCTACCCAGTCCCTTGTCCCAATTATATGACCAGCTCTTCTTTCTGTGATGTGAAAAGTACCTCTGGATCTTGCCAGAACTTGGGTTCCTATGAAGAGAATAAATGTGCAAGATCACCAGAGAACCTGGAAGAAAAATGAGAAAAACTTTGGTGAGCTGACAGGGGAAACATTTGTCCAGCACGACACGAGATCCTTAGTCTTCTTAATCAGCACACCTGCTGCCTGAGAAACGTCCTGGGTCGTCATTGCTTTGCAGGTGCTCGCAGGCTGATGCAACCTAGCCGAGCCCAGGAGTAGATTATCAACTGTTGCAATTGACTTTGCATGAGAAGCAAGAAATGATAAGGACCCTGCATTGGCTGCTTGAGTCTCTGACTTCGCTGGGAGGACTCTGGAGGGTCAGGAGGAGACCGACACAGCTGTTTCCTAGCACAGTCTCTGAGGTAGAGCAGGCAGCCGTCCCTGAGGGGGAATGAACCCTGGGCTCAGTGAGGCAGGGCGGTACAGACACGTGCAGTTGGCAATGTCAGTCTCCCTGGACAACCCAAGAGCCATGTTACAATTTCCAGTGGAATCAGCTGAGGCCATGGGAGCCCCGCAAGCCACTCAGCCTCTTGTAGCTCTGTCCTTGGATTTCACAGGAGAACCTTTCCCCTTTCATTGGCGTGACCCACATTTGGGGGGACGTTGGGACTTCCACAGAAGTGACGTATGGGAGGAGGAAGTTAGAATTGGGCCGTAACAAGGAAGAGACAACACAGACCTTCTGGCAAGGTACGTCCATCGTGGAACGTGATGGGCTTGCTGAGCTCTCGGGCCACTCCAGGTACCGGAGGGTACAGGCGAAGGCTCTCCTTGATGCACATGGTGCTGTAAGTCATTTTGCCAAGGTCATCCCTGAAAGCAATCAGAGCTGGAGACTATGAATGAGGAACAGCCCCGGCCACTACCAAGATACGAGCTGGCTGCATCAACATCTGTAAAAAGCGATTTTGGGGCTGAAGCATAAAAGTGACGTGGGCTCTCTTCCCACCTCTGCCACAGACTTCCTGCAGCACACGGAGCAACTCTCTTGATCCGACAGGGCTTCGGTGTCCCTAGCTGTAACCTTTTGGAGGCAGGGACTGACTTTTTGTCCCATGTTTGTACAGTGCCTAGCGCAATGGGATGCTGGGTCATGAAATATCTCTGTGCTTCAGAGGGGGTGGTAAGGCTTAATATTTTAATTACAAGATACTTTGACATCCTTGCATGCAGTCGTTTATAGAAATGCAAAATCTTAATATTTGGGATTTAATTTAGCAAGAAAATCTAGCAGATCTGTCTTATTCCTAAAGTTGCAGTCTCCAAAGGCTGAATGCAGGGTTAGTGGAGCTGAGAGGAACTCCCTCATCCTCAATCATGTACTGTTCCTTTCCCAATCAAACACCTGTATTTTATTAACTGAGAAAAACCTAAGATCTGGAATTGAACAGCCCTTAGCACAAGGGAAGTTTGGATCCAGCTTTGGATCTGTCCTTCGTGCCATGGCTGTGCTATAGAGAACAGAGACCTAAGACCAGAGGTAAGTGGGGAAGTGGGATACTGGGAATAAACACAAGAAGGAAAATGCAATAGAGGACCCCCAATTCGTACTGAGAAAGTAGGGCAATCAGCTAGTTAGTTGAACACGAATGTAAGAAGCCTGGGAAACAAGCAGGAAAAATTAGAAGTCCTGGGATTTGACTGGATTTGACTGGAATAATGGAGACTTGGTGGAACAACTCATATGATTGGAGCACTGTCATGGAAGGGTATAAACTGTTCAGGAAGGAAAAGCGGGGCAAGAAAGGTGGAGGAGTTGCACTGTATATAGGAGAGCAGTATGATTGCTCACCACTCTCGTATAAAGCGGGAGAAAATCCTGTTGAGAAAAGAGCAGTGTGATTGCTCACCACTCTAGAATAAAGCGGGAGAAAATCCTGTTGAGAATCTTTCGGTTACGTTTAGAGGCAGGACCCATACAGGTGATGTCATGGTGAGTGTCTGCTATGGACCAGATCAGGTGGATGAAGTAAACGAGGCTCTCTTCAGCCAACTAACAGAAGCTTCCAGTTCACAGGTCCTAGTTCTCCTTGGGGACTTCAATCACCCTGACATCAATTGGGAGACCAATATAGCAGTACACAGACAATTCAGGAAGTTTTTGGAGAATGTTGGGGATAACTTCCTGGTACAAGGGCTGAAGGAACCAACTGAGGCCATGCGCAGCTTGACCTGCTGCTCAGAAAGGCTATGTCTACACTACAGGGTTCTTGCGCAAGAAGCTTTTTGCGGAAGAGATCTTCTGCAAAAACTTTTTGCACAAGAGAGCGTCCACACTCCAAAAGTGTATTGAAAAAATAATGAGCTTTTCCGCAAGAGAGCATCCAGACTGCATGGATGCTCTCTCAAAAGAAAGCGCTGATTGCTAGTCACAGAATGGCCAATAGGGCACCTGTGCTTTTTCTATAGGAGTTTTTTGTGCAAAAAGAGGCAGTTCCCCGCCCACACACACCTTTTTACACAAGAGTTCTGGTGCAAAAAGGAGTTATTCCTTGTGGAAAGAGGAATAATTCTTGTGCAAAAACCTCTCCGTTATGCTGATTTTCTTGTGTGCTCTGTGTGGATGCTCTGTGAGTTTTTGTGCAAAAACAGCTGGTTTTGCAAAAAAACTCTGGTCTAGACATAGCCCAACAGGGAGGAATTAGTTGGGTAAGAAAATGTGGGTGACAACCTGTTATTATTTCAAAATAGTTATTATTTCAAAATAGTAACTCCCAAATTAACTGTTTCGAAATAGCACGTCCACACTATGGGGAAGCCTCAAATTTTGTCCAAGGCAGGCTCCCTTAATGTGGATGTGCTACCTCGACTTAGAGACCCAGGAAGCGCTGGGGAGGAATTATTCTGAACGTCTCTGGGGAGTAGTTTTTTTTAAATAGCAGCAGCAGAGCATCCCCACTACTGTCATTTCAAAATATTATTCCTCATGAAAAACTGGAGTTATTATTTCAAAATAACCAGCCCGTTATTTTGAAATAACGGGCTTGGCAGTGTGGACACTCTGCTTGTTATTTTGAAATAACTCCCTAGTGTAGACCAGGGCTCAGCAAATGCACAGATAACACTAAGGTAGGGAGAAAAGTAGGGGGTAGGGATAGGGTCCTTAGTGATCTAGACAGATTAGAGGATTGCGCCAAAAGAAATCTGATGAGGTTCAACAAGGACAAGTGCACAGTCCTGCACTTGGGACGGAAGACTCCCATGAACTGTGTTACAGGCTGGGGACAGACTGGCTAAGCAGTAGTTCTGCAGAAAAGGACCAGGGTGAGAAGCTGGATGTGAGTCATCAGTGCTCCCTGGTAGCCAAGAAGGCTAATGGCCTATTGGGGCACATTAGTAGGAACGTTGCCAGCAAATGTAGGAACGTGATTATCCCCCTTTAGCCTCCCCCTTGCTGAATACATCTGCAGTATTGCGTCCAGGTCTGGGCTCCCCAGAAAGGAGGTGGATGCACTGCAGAAAGTTCAGGGGTAGGCAAGAAAAATGATGAGGGGGCTGGTGCACAGGACTTATGAGGAGAGGCTGAGGGATTTGGGCTTATTTAGTCTGCAGAAGAGAAGAGCGAGGGGGGATTTGACAGCAGCCTTCAACTACCTGAAAGGGGGTTCCAAAGAGGATGGAGAGAGGCTGTTCTCAGTGCTGACAGATGCAGAACGAGGAGCAATGGTCTCATATTGCAGTGGGGAAGATCTAGGTTGGGTATTAGGAAAAACTATTTCCCTAGGAGGGTGGGGAAGCACTGGGATGGGTTCCCTAGGGAGGTGGTGGAATCTCCATCCCTAGAGGTCATTAAGTCTCGTCTTGACAAAGCCCTGGCTGGGGTGATGCAGTTGGGGTTAGTCCTGCCTTGGGCAGGGGATTGGGTTTCATGACCTCACAGACTTTAAGGTCAGAAGGGACCATTATGATCATCTAGTCTGACCCCCTGCACGGTGCAGGCCATAAAATCTCACCCACCCCTCCTAGAATAATCCTCTCACCTATATCTCAGATATTGAAGCCTTCAAATACTTTCAAGACCCCAAGATGCAGAGAATCCTCCAGCTGTGATCTATACCCCATGCTACAGAGGAAGGCGAAAAACCTCCAGGGCCACTGCCAATCTACCCTGGAGGAAAATTCCTTCCCGACCCCAAATATGGTGATCAGCTAAACCCTGAGCATGTGGGCAAGACTCATCAGCCAGACACCCAGCCAGACACCCAGAAAGTTCTCTATAGTAACTCCTATCATCCCTCCATTGACCTATTTCCCACTGATAATGAATGGTCAATTAGTTACCAAGATCATGTTATCGCATCAAACCATCCCCTTCATAAACCCATCTAGTTTAATCTTGAAACCAGATAGATCTTTTGCCCCCACTACTTCCCTTGGAAGGCCGTTCCAGAACCTCACTCCTGTAATGGTTAGAAACCTTCGTCTAATCTCAAGTCTAAACTTCCTACTAGCCAGCTTATATCCTCCTGAGGTCTCTTCCAACTTTGGGTTTCTATGATTCTCAATACAGATCCTTTGGAGCTGAGCTTGTGAAATAAGATCCACTTAATTCCTCAAACTGAATACCTAGGAATCATTCAAAGCCAACTGGTACCAAATCAACGAGGTAACATCTCACCATTGCACAGTATCTCTGTCTCCCACGATCTCCTGGATCTCTTCTCTGCATCTCTGCTGGTGCTCTGGGTGCAGGGCCATGCAGTACAAGAGCCAGGAGATCCCACTGGCCGTGGTATCGTGCCCCTCAAACATGAACGTGTCCACCTCGGCGCGTAGGTCTTCGTCAGACAGTCCAGCGCCGTTTTCATCCTAGCAAAGCAGCGAGATAAATGTGAGGACACTTTTGGAGAGAAAAAATATACCTGGTTCACTGGCAAAGATCCCAGCATGCTTTGCCTTGTTTGCACAAGAAATTGGGTCAGTCCATGCAAAGAATGCAATTGCCAGGTATGTACCTGGTACAAGTGAAATCCGAGTCAGGTCGCTTGGGTCCAAAGGCAGGCGTTCCCCTTCTAGAATGAGCAAGGCAGCAGAGATGGGCTACAATAGAAGTTATTCATCAACAGGGTGTCAGGTGCCCACCTTCAGTGCTGATGAAGTGAATAGGAGCCCACAGTGCGGAGCAGTTGCGAAAAAGGCTAAAACCGTTCTGGGGCTTCATTAGCAGGAGTGTCAAATGTGAGACCTGGGAGGTAATTGATCCACTGTGCTCGGCAGTGGTCTCGGGCTGGTGTCTGTGTCCGGTTCTGGGCACCGCACTTTAGGAAAGATGTGGACATTGTGGAGAAATAGAAAACCTGAGCTCTCCGAGGAAAGGCTACACACTGGGCTTGTGTAGTTTTGAGAAAAGAAGACTGAGGGGGAACCTGGGAGCAATCTTCAAATAGGCGAAGGGCTGTTGTAAAGAGGATGAAGACGAATTGCTCTCCCTGTGCAACGGGGGCGGGACAAGCAGTCACAGGCTTACTCAGCAGCAAGGAAGGTTTAGGTTAGACATTGGTAAATACATTTTAACTCTGAGGGGAGTGAAGCGCTGGAACAGGCTTCCCGGGAAGGTTGTGGAGACCCCGTGGCTGGAGGTGTTTAAGAACAGGCGGAATAAACACCTGTCAGGGATGGCTAGGTCACTCATTTTTGCTGAGCCCCTCCCCTCTTCAGAGAGTCATGTGCTCTGCGAGCCTCCATCTTCCTCCGGAACAGTATTTTGTAGGGCTTGGGGTGCTCGGGACCTGCAGGGGTCAGTGAGGATCCTCACGACATAAGAGTTCGGAAGCCTTCACCTCACGGCCATGGTCAGGTGGCCTCTCAGGGCCAGCAAACTGTGCTGTGCTGAAGGACAGGAGCCAGGATAGGAGCAAAAAGCTATACTCTGTGAACCCTGGCTCCCCTGCCAGACACCTGCTCTCCCAGCGCAGGGCCTGTGCAGCAGGAGACAGGGATGGGACTCTGTGTTAGGAGCTGCACTTAGGGGCTGAGGTCAGGAAAGGGCTCTGTCTGGAGGGGTGATAGGTATTACCAGGGTGCCTCTTTGCATTTCAGGCTCCCCCCATTCCCCTCAGCTCCCCAGTGAAGCAGTGTAACTGCTGGTTTGCGGCTGCTGCAGGTGCAGCTAGGGGGGAGTGAGTATTCACACACCGAAGCAGCTACAGGGAAATGCTGCATGAGCTATAGAACAGCTGTAGAATATGGCTCCTCTGTGCAGCTTGGCCTTGTATGTACGGTGCTGGAGCTCCTGCTGACGTCGCTGGGTTTCTGTATATGGCCTGCTCAGGTGCCGCACAACTGTACATACCTCCCGTGCTGCTGAAAAGCTTGAGTGGCCTGCAGTCCCTGCCAGCCCTGCCTTTCTGTGCATCTGTGCCAGCTGCCCTGCTCTGCCCACACCGCACAAGGACTCTGGTGCTGGGTCAGGCTTTGCACATTCAGCCAGGATCGTTTTTTTAAGATTAAAAGACAAAGAACAAACAATACAAGAAAGAACAAAAGAAGAAACTCTGGGATGGGCGGGAGCGTGAGAGCACAGTGTGTGAGTCTCTTTCCACTGTGGGAGTCTGCACTGAACTGAGCTCCAAATGGCAGCTGTGTCCTGCAGCCCAGCAGGCAACTAGTAAAGACACAGAGCACAGGAAACCCAAATGGGAACATTTATCTTGCTACATATAGAGAACAGCTCGTGCCTGCAGGCGTCCCTGGGATATGTCACAGGTCTCATTCACACTTACATGCTGTTGTACTTCTGTTCTAGTACATGTTAACTTGCTGAGTGAAATCAACTAATAGAAATTACTGTTATTCCTTGCACTTATTCACCCCTGAACACTGTCCTTTGCACACCCTCCCTTGACATTTCTTCATTTACAGCACTGTAAGCTGACAGAATTATACGGGAGGATATATACAATGGGGAAGCTGTTGTCAACTATAGCCAGGTGTCTGCTAATATTACATATGGACACACGGGTGTCGCGAGGCTGTTTACATGATTTAAAACACTCACCTTGGCACACAGAAGAATGTCCAGAAAATCCAAGTACTTCTTCTTCTTCTTTTCAAGTTCTTGCTGATCTTGGAGGGACGTCTTTCTCTCTTTTATTACTTTCTCTGTATATAAGAATGGCAAACGTATTAGCTTCACTTCGACATCACGGGGATATGTCCTTCTGGGATGGTCAAAGGATCTTCTGCTTAATGCAAATGCCAAAATGGACACATGGTATATTAGAGCAGGAGATGAGGTCTCCTAGAACCAAGTATTGGGAAGACGTACTTTGTACTTCTAAAGTACAGACCCTTCCCTTGGAGGATCTCACAGAAAGTTACAAACAAAGGGATCATAATCTCTATTTTGCAGCTGACCAAACTGACCTGAGGAGAGACAAATCCACTTGCCTGAAGTCCCACAGGAGATTGGAAGCAGAGTTAGAATAGAAACCAGGGCCAAATCCACCCTTCATATAAACTCCCTGAAGTTCATGAAGTTCCATCAGAGTTGGATTTGGCCCAAGATCATCTGACTACCGGCCTTGTGCCTCAATTTTACAGCCGTCATTCTTGCCCAGAGCATTAGGGGAGAAATGTCTTCATGATTTCCACTCTCAGATTCTCTTCTGATAGATCAGTGAAGAATAATTACACCAAACTAGGCAACAACCTACAGTCAATAGGAGACACAGAGGAGGGCCCTAGGAAATACCTGTATGGAGGTGCGCTAGTCGGCAGGCCTCTCGAAAGCGACGTCCTTGAGGGCTGATTCGATAGATTAAATCATTATAATATGGAAAAAAGCGGATTCTATGGTACACCAGGTAGGTCAGGTCGTAGACAGCTTTGATGTAGCCATCGGAGTCACTGAAGGAAAAGGACGGTTCAATGAGGCGATTCTGGGTCTGGTTGTCAAGAACATTTTTGTTAGTATTTGAAAGCACCTGGTACTGACCTGTCAGTCTGGCAGTTGCTATGACAACTGAAGGCACATTTCATGATGCTGTCTAGGGTCATCAAACTGACATGTTCAAAGAGCTCCACTGACTTGCCGACTGTGATCAGCCGTTCCCACTTGTCCTAGTGGAGAAGACAGAGATGAGGAGGGACGGGATTCCAGACAAGGTTTTCACGTGGTATATTGTCAATCTGTTGTAATTCTTATAATGTCTCCCACCACTGGCATATCTAATACGCAGCAGATATAACCGGAAAGCAAGGTAAATTAGGACTCGAGTTCATTTTTACTGGTTTCATAATAGATGTGATTCAGGTGCTGGCGCTCTTCACATAAAGCAATGTAATCTGAGCAAAATTTCATTGCCAGTTCAACAGATAACCAAATCTTCCTGGCAAGATACAACCTGATTACAATCCAGCTGGGTTAAAGGATGTTTCTAAAAAGTACTTGACATCAGCAACTGAGTGACTGCCTCTAGCAAACTCTGTTATTTGCCAGCACTGGGAACCAACTAAGGTAGGTTTAGCAAGACTCATTAAAAGGCGAGAGATTTCATGATTATTTTTTCAGTGTTCAGAGCACAGCTCACATGGTAATTGAAAAGCTGGAGCTATTTTGGGCCAAGATGTTTTCAGTGAAGTTACCTCAGAGATAAATTTGGCTCAGAGACTTTAATAATTATTAGGGACATTCAATCCTTGTGAATTCACAGTTTCAAGCTAACGAGAGTATTGTGCAATAAAAGGGGCCTCCCAACAAGCTGGTATAGTAGAAGTGGGTAGCTTATGGACAGTGTGTAATTACATATGTACTTCAGTAATTTCCTCATTGTCCTCCTCTACTCTTTTTGGTCTGTATTTGTTTTTGACTCTCTCCCTCTACCATACACTACTTCACACTAGCCCACGTAGTTTTTTTTTTCTTTCACAGTCAGTCTATTCTCTTTTACCTTCTATAGAGTCATAAAATCATAGAACACTAGAACTGGAAGGGATCTTGAGAGGTCATCGAGTCCAGTCCCCTGCCCTCACAGCAGGACCAAGTACCACCTAGATCATCCCTGACAGATGTCTGTCTAATCTGCTCTTAAATATCTCCAGTGTTGGAGATTCCACAACTTCCCTCGGCAATTCATTCCAGTGTTTGACCACCCTGACAGTTAAGAAGTTTTTCCTAATGTCCAACCTAGACTGACCTCCCTGCAATTTAAGCCCGTTGCTTCTTGCCCTACCCTCAGAGGCCAGGGAGAATAATTTTTCTCCCTCCTCCTTGTAACAGCCTTTTAGATACTTGAAAGCTTCTGCTATCATGTCCCCTCTCTGTCTTTTCTTTTCCAAACTAAACAATTCTTTCAGTCTTCCCTCACAAGTCATGTTTTCTAGAACTTTAATCATTTTTGTTGTTCTTCTCCAGACCTTCTCCAATTTCTCCACATCTTTCCTCAAATATGGTGCCCAGAACTTGACACAATACTCCAATTGAGGCCTAATCAGTGCAAAGTCGAGTGGAAGAATGACTTCTCGTGTCTTGCTCATAACACTCCTGTTAATGCATCCCAGAACCATGTTTGATTTTTTTGCAACTGTCACGCTGTTGACTCATATTTAATTGATGGTCCATTCAGATTGCTTTCTGCAGTTCACCATTGTCAGACCGAGAAAAGTTACTGTGGTACGGTTCACTTTATTGGAAACTTAGTGACAGAAAAATATCTGGACCGCATTCTCAGCTGATGTCTGTTGGTGCAGCTCTATTCAGTTACCAGCTAGTGGTCTGACCCTTTTACTAAAAGAGTTGCAGAGCAATTGTGCAAATCAAGGTGTATGGAGCATCTCACTGCACTGTCTTCCAATTGTTCAACATCAGGCCCAGTGATTTCCCCAGCCCTGCAGCTGAAAGCACAGTCACGGGGATGAGTCCTACCAGCATCACTTTGGTAGTTTCTGCCATCAACGCGACATAAGGTTTCAACACGTCATAGTGAAACCCTGGGGTCAGCAGCCTTCTATGCTGGAACCACTTTGGCCCATGTAAGATCAGTAATCCCTTGCCTGCAGGGATAGAAAACCAAAGAGTCACTCAAATCAATTCACCGTTCTATGAATTACTCTGATTTTTGTGGCGTTCATCGTAGTCTTGGCTCATTGAAAGGAGGGAAACTTGAAAACAGGAATACGTAATTCTGTGCCTAAGCAAGTCCTCATGGGTCACCGCCGGAGGGATGGTACCATGAGGGAGGACAGGGAGTTTTGAGGACTTGATAGAGGATTGGAAAAAACACACCATTGGAGAGGAAAGGGGATGGTACCTGTGGCGTAGCGAGGATGTTATGCCTCTGGGGGCTAAGGCAAAATTTGTGCCCCCCAATCATTTGCTGAGTCTGACCCTTGGAAGGGGGGGAGCTTGTACCGCATCTTCCTCCACCCCATCCAGTTTGGGGCCGGGCCCCCACATGCACTAACCCGCCGGTGGCCAGGGAAAGACACTGTGCAGCGGCTCCCCGGAGATGGAGGAGGGTCAGGCTGGGGGCAGAGAGGAGGGGAGGGCTCCAGCTGGCAGTGGTGGGTGGAGGAGGAGCAGGCAAGCTGAAGGGTTGACAGGGGGAGTGGAGGGGACTCAATTAGCACCCAGTGTGGTGCCCAGGGGCAACTGCCTCCCTGTCCCCCCTCGCTACACCACTGGCTGGCACATGCTAAAGCAAAGCAGGAAATGTGGAAGGGCACTGATGTGATGTGTCACCTTATTGGTCTGTGGATCGGAGACCCAACAAATGAAACCGGAAATACTTTCGTTTTCCAAAGTGGAAACCTTTGGTTGTCCAATGAAAGCTTTATGGGCTCTGGTTGATGGTAACCATTTTTATTTTGGTTGGAAACCAAACATTTTAGTTTTCTCATTTTGGGGGGTTATTTTTGTCAGTTCCCTGGGCTTTGGAATGATCTGTTGCAACAGACATTGGCAGGTGGGAGACATTCATACTCAGGGTTATCCTCAAGCACAAAGTGTGGGTCTACTCAGTGTGAGTGGCAATTTGACCTCAGCGTGCATGCGCTTGGTTGAATCCACGCCCGGTTTGCTCAGTTTGCAGAGAAGAAGATGGCGGTCCTGTAAATTCAACCTCATTTCTGAGAGTCAAGCTCGGTTCTTTCCTTCTCATAAATCTGCAGTGACACCTGCCAACCCATTTGACTGCAGAGAGGTTGCCATGGTGGCACTGAGGACATAGTCTGAAGACCATGAACCTGAATATGTGTAACTGAGGGTATCATTTGGTCTGAGCAATCTTTATTATGCGTTGGTTATGGGTGACAGTATTGAGTGTCATCTGAAATATCAGATATTAGGCACTGGGCAGCAGAATTCTGGATTAAATGGAAAAATGGTCTAGCCTAATAGAGACCACAGTCATCCCTAACAGCTTTCAATCACAGAATGGTCATCTTCTCTGGTTTTATAATAGCAAGGAATACAATAAATCTAATTACAAGAGAAGTGTGCGGCCCACCATGAATGGTTGAAGCAAGACAGCAAGGATTAGAGCTGTATACTTGGGTTAATACTCCAGCGCCTAACATGCTCTCGATTCATTCATGAAACTGGTCAAGAGGATGGACAAAGAATGATTCTACATACCGATCCAGGGAATTAAGAATCTGTACACTGTCATATCCTTGAGATCTGTGAAATTCAACAGAGTAGATAATTATAGTGTTAGGGGTGACACACTGCGAAAATGAAAATGTAGATGTGTTTCTGGTATGAATTCTTCTAATAATGGTGAAGGAGCTCAGGTAACTAGGAGCTTAGAGGTACAGGAATTAGCAAAATATTGAATTGTCATTTACCACATGATTAGTACATTTTAAAGAGAGCCTTTTTACTCGTAGATGCACATCAGACTGGGGAGGAGGAGGATGGGAAGATGACCATGGAAGCTTTGAAAGATTTTACTATGGAGGAATATGCCTCATCTTCAAAGGAATTTATGTGTGAGATCTATGCTACATCAGTGATCACATTGACTACAATGATTCCCCAGGACAGGTGTGTTCTTCTGGAGTCAGGCAAGTGATGAATCAATGCCGAGAAATTAGGGTCATCCAGACCACATTTAGGATGGGCAGCAAGAACCTCCTCTCTGAAAATTTTTTCCCATTCTACACAGAATCGTGTTGAAATATACTTGGAGATGGTAATCTCTTCAGGACTGGGACTGTCAGAATCCTTAGGTACAGCAGGAGCTGTAACAATAATACAGGTGGCCCCTGACTTGCAGTGCGATTGGTTCCCAGGGAAGCGTCACAAGTCAGGGGTGTCGTAATTCGAACCCTCATTTACGATAGATGCCATGTGCTGTTGTAAATGGTGGCCGAGCACATAAGTCAGGGGGTTTCAGCTCCTTCCGCACTTACCACCATTTTTGTAAGTGTAGGGGGTCGGAACTCGGGTGGTCGCATGTCAGGGATTTCCTGTAATTAGAGCTTCCTACGCCAGAAAGAGAAAGCAACTAAAAATTGTGGGATGTCAACTAGCAGACTTTCTATCCAGCTAATCATTGGAACAACTTAGATCCTAGGAAGCCTTAAGTTAGACACATTTCTAAGGGTGCAGGTGGTGGGTTCCCATTTCACATTGAATATTGAAAGTGTCCCAACTTAACTAGGAAGGAGTAGGCACGTGGGAAGAGTGTAAAGGAGAGAACTGCAATAATTGAGAGAAGACACATGCAGGAAGAGGAGTCCAAACGGCTTTCTGTGAAACAACACTTGAGGGGGCATCGAGTGGGAATCTCTCTCAAATAAGAGCCAATGACTTTACCTCCATGGCCAAACACAGTTTTGGCGTAATCAGGGTGGTGGATTACTAAGGAACACAGGACATACGGGTACTTTTTTCCCCAAGCCGGAAAGTTCTTTAATTCTCCCTCTTGAGACATCTGCAACGATAGGGAAAAAAAGAGAGTGAGAAAGCATTTAGAGAGACAAGAGTGAAATTCACCTCAGTGTGGAAAGTCTGCACAAGGTCATCTGGGCCACTCTAAGGGTATGTCTACACTAGTCCCCTAGTTCGAACTAGGGGGCTAGTCTAGACATACCCTAAGTCTTCTCTGTGGGAGATGGTGAACAGGTGGAGTGGACTTGTAATGCGGGGCTATGCACCTTGACATGACTCCATCCAACCACAAACTGGCTGGGGTAGAGAGGACCAACATCTAACACTTAGTAACTATGCATCTCTAGAGGGAGCTCTGTTGCAACCCTTTGCATATCAAAATGGGAAAGCTTAACACATCCCTGGCACTAGGGAAATGGTGCAGCTGGCTGGGAAAATTGATTGTTCTTTTAGAGAAATTTCTACATATAAATTGTGGTCAACGTTTTCCTCTGCAATGTTTAAATAAAAAAACTGAAACCAAACACCCGAAAAAGTGTGTTTTAGTTACAATTATGAGGCTGATAGCTATTAAATATTCTCCTGTCACACTGTTTAACTATGAATATAGAGTATTGTCGTAAAGGAAGCAACTAAGCTTCCGAGTTAAGCAGCAGTTGGACAGAAAAGGAGCTGGGGATTACAGTGGATGAGGAGCTGGATATGAGTCAACAGTGTGCCCTCGTAGCCAAGAAGGCTAACGGCATATTGGGGTGTATTAGGAGGAGCATTTCAAGCAGATCTAGAGTCGTGGTTATTCCATTTTATTCAGCACTAGTGAGGCCACATTTGGAGTATTGTGTCAAGTTCAGGCCCCCCACTACATCTACACATGTGGACACATTGGAGAGGGTTAGGGTTAGGGTTAGCTTTGCATCAAAAAAGGAAAAAGGTCAAAAATAAGATTTTCCTCTGCAAAATTTTTGCTTTAATCAAAAAGTCACTTTTGTGGCCAAAATTACATTTTGATGAAATATCAAGTTTCTAGTAAAGGATGTTGCAAGATCTAAAGCGGTGTAAAATCAGAAACCACATTTTAAACTAGTGACACTTAGATCTCCTTTGTTCAAGAACCAAATAAGTGATCAAATTACCCAAAAGACCCACAGTCATGTGAATTCATAGAAACATAGAATGCCAGGGCTGGAAGAGACCTCAGGAGTCATCTAGTCCAGCCCCCTGCCCAAAGCAGGACCAACCCCAACTCAATCATCCCAGCCAGGGCTTTCTCAAGCCTGGACTTAAAAACCTCTAGGGATGGAGATTCCACCCCCACCCTAGGGAACCATCCCAGTGCTTCAACCACCCTCCTTGTGAAATAGCTTTTCCTAATATTCAACCTAGACTTCCCCCACTGTAACTTGAGACCATTGCTCCTCTTTTTGCCATCTGCCTCCACGGAGAACAGCCTCTCTCCATCCTCTTTGGAAGAGGTGCCCGGACGGGAAGACGCAGGGAGTTGGAGGCTGCTATCAAATCCTCCCTCACTCTTCTCTTCTACAGACTAAACAAACCCAAATGCCTCAGCCTCTCCTCTCTCCTCCTAAGTCATGTGCTGCAGCCTCCTCATCGTTTTGGTTGCCCTCCGCTGGACCCTCTCCAATGCGTCCACATCTGTAGATGTAGTGGGGGGACTGAACTCGACGCAATACTCCAGATGTGGCCTCACCAGTGCTGAATAAAGGAGCATAATCATGACTCTAGATCTGCTGGAAATGCTCCTCCTAGTGCACCCTAATATGCCGTTAGCCTTCTTGGCTACAAGGGCACACTGTTGACTCATATCCAGCTCCTCATCCACTGTAATCCCCAGCTCCTTTTCTGTCCAACTGCTGCTTAACTCGGAAGCTTAGTTGCTTCCTTGTTTCCTTTACTACAGTACTATATTTTCTTAATTAAACAGCATGACAGGGGAATATTAGATAGATAGACAGATAGAGGTATCACATTTTTACAGCCAAATGACTGACCAAGTATTATTTTATCAGCTACAACTGGTTAAAAGCACTGTAAACGCATCCTGACTCGTTAATAGCTTAGACTGGTTAATAATTAAATCACACAGCCTTGGTCTATGCTAGGGTGTTATTTCAAAATAACTCCCCTTATTTCAACATAACAAGAGGAGTGTCCACCCTTCCATGCCCGTTATTTTGAAATAGTAAGTGCTGCTTTCCACGAGGAATAACGCTTATTTTGAAATGGTTGTAGCTCCGCTACAGAGTCAATCAAAGTTATTACTCCCCGGTACTTCCTGGGTCTCTAAGTCACAGTAGCAGATCCACATTAGGGGAGCCTGCCTCCTACTAATTTCGAGGTTTCCCTGTAGTGTGGACGTGCTATTTTGAAAGAGTTCTTTTGGGAGTTATTATTTTGAAATAAGTGCTGAGTGTAGACATTCCCACAGTGTTTTACTGTCATGTGCAAAAAACACCCTCAGGAGACACATTAAAGAGACAGTTGCCACTTACAAGCCAGAGGCTGAATGTCATGACTTTAAACATTGACTGGATGACAACCTGTTTGCATTTAGATGCTGGGAACTTTGCTGTTGGGTGCAAAAATGCATAAATCCCCCAATGTCTGCACCAAGAAACAATGAAAACGTTTGAAATAAACATTCCCCCTGTTCACAGACACAGCAGAATTTGCTTAAAGGGCTGGAGCTGGAAATGACTCAGTTCTTTTGCGGCTATATTTTTCTTTTCCCCCACACAAACATTCCACTGACATACAGCTGTGGTCTCCGTTAAAGAGTAGGACAGGAAAGGCATCACTGGGTGACTGATGCCCCGATTTTAGAGGAACAGGCCTGGTATTCAAAGCTTTGTCCTATATATAGGGGCCCTGCGGCTGGAGATACTTTAAATTAGGGATGTAAGCAACTAGTCGACTTCTGCTTCTCGGATAGTCAACTAGTGACTCGACTAGTTACTTCCCTCCTACCTTGCTTCCTCTATCAGAGAGAGGGAGCAAAGTGGGGTAGCAGGAGCCAGTGCTGGGGGGAGCCAGCTTAAAAGCCTTTTCCCCCAGCACTGTCTCAGTGGGGACAGGGGAGGGCAGGGGCACAGTGGGGAACTGGCAGCACTTCTGGCTTTGAAATATAGCAAGAGCAGGGCTCTTGATACATTTCAGAAGCAGACATGATGCAGGGAGCGCGGGGCAAGCGGGGGAATCAAGCAATCCCCATTGGCCCCGTGTTCCCTGCTTTTGAAATGTACAAGAGCCCCGAGAGGGGCGGAGGGGGGGGCTCTTGTACATTTCAAAAGCAAAGTGCATGGGGAATACGGGCCAATGGGGGATTGCTTGATTCCTCCACTGCTCTCATGCTCCCCACGGCGCTTCTACCTCTGAAATGTAGCAAGAGACAACAGGGCTCTTGCTACATTTCAAAGGCGGAGGCGCCCGTATCGACTAATTGAATAGTCGATGCAAATTCCATCGACTATTCGATTAGTTGGTTCATCTAAATTTAACATCCCTGCTTGAAATGGCTGCTGTAGCCCCAGTGACAGGGGCTGAGCAGCACTTCAAGGCTGGCTGGGGGAGGCTAGCACCACGGCCGGGCTTAGGAAAATGGCTCCCGGGGTGAACTTGTATTTTGGCACCTCTGGAGTGTCAGTATGTAGTAGCGTCGGTGAAAATGTCCGAAATAAAGCCGGACTCTCAAAAGTTTTCGCACATTTACTCCAAATATTGACACAAAATGAGATTCACTTTTATTATCATAAAGGATGTAAGTCACAAAAACATTAGCGCGGGAGGTCAAATAAACTGACCATGAAACTAAAGGCTAAACTAATGAATAAGGACAAATACAAAATGCTGTTCACCAAGCTGTTAAGAGTCAGCAGGCAGCGCTGTGAGCCATTGCTTGTGACAGGATTGTGAGCCCCGGCCTCCTCCATAGACGGGGGGTGGAACTGGCGTCTCAGGAGATGATGGACAAGGCACGTCCTTGGCGCACACGAAGGAAGCTGCTCAGTCCTTTGCTCCCAGGCTGCAGGGCCTGCTATTGTCTCTGCCCCATTCTTTGCAAAGGGAATGGTCACTATCAGCCCTTTGGCCAGGCCCTTCCTTTAAGAGCTACGTGGGGGAATGGATGCATTGAGATTAAACATTCACGCTAAGACGAGAGCCACAGAAGGCGGCTGCTGGGTGTGAAGGGCATCAGATCGCGAAATGAAACAGCCAGTGAAAAATGGGTCACTTGCCCTTCAGTGGGCTCAGACCACAGTCTGAGTTGCTCTGCAGAAGCCCTGGCAGCTCCCTTGTCGCAGCTCCACTTCCTTCTGATGCCTGGTGCCTGGCCTGCAGCTCAAGATACTCTGTCAGATGGGGGCTGAATCTTCCTGCACCCACCGTCCTGCTGCAGCCCTCTGGCTACTCCTGACTCATTTCAGATTGGGGAGGGGAGGGAAGGGGGAGGCCATTTTGACTGCGATTTCAGAGAATGCTTAGGCACCTGAAATCTCTGGGGGGAGGGGGGGTTGTTTTTGCAGATAACTTAGGGTGCATCAATGCTGCACTCTTAGCTCAAAATAAGTTACACAATTTGAGCTATGCAAATTGCGTAGCTTATTTTGAGTTCATTTCGAAATAGCTTATTTTGTAATTTGGCATTTCTACATAGCTTATTTTGTAATTTGGCATCTCTACACAGCGCCAAATTTTGAAACTCACCGCTATTCCGAAACGTCCCTTAATCCACGTGGAACAAGGTTTACAGGGATGTCGGAATAGCGAGCCTGTTATATTTCAAAATAATGGGCTTGTTTCAAAGACACAGAATAGCTATTTCAGAATACTGGAAGTATCCCAAAATAGTGCTGCAGTGTAGACATATCCTTAGAAATTAGCTGTGAATTTCACAGTACACACAAATCCTGAAAAGGGTTAAAATTCAGTGATATAATCTTCTAAACTGGGCTTGTTACAAATGGACAAGTGAATGAATAGTTTAATCGACAAATCATGTTTGGTTTTCGGATATTTATTTTGTATATCTTGACATGTGATATTGACATTTAGGGCACGTCTACACTACAGGACAAAGTCGAATTAAGATACGCAACTTCAGCTACGTTAATTGCGTAGCTGAAGTCGAAGTCGCTTAATTCGGCTTTTGGCGCTAACTGCAGGAAGTCGAAGTAAGAACACTCTTCCTTCGACTTCCCTTCCTCTTCATGGAAGCAGAGTTACTGGCATCGACCGCAGTGCCCCTCTCACTTTGAATTAGTTGTCTTAACTAGACCCGCTAATTCAAACCCTGGAAGATCGACAGTTTCGATCTTCCTCTGCAGCGAAGACATACCCTTAGTGGTTTTTTCTGTTTTGTTGTACAGGCAGACCCCGGGTTACGTACAAGATAGGGACTGTAGGTTTGTTCTTAAGTTGAATTTGTATGTAAGTCGGAACTGGTACATATTGTAGGGGAAACTCTAGCCAAACATTTCTCCAGAGCTCAGTTTTATTCTCCCACACCTCACTTCCCTCAGCCCTTTATTCTCAAGCTGAAGTGTCTGCTGAGAAAAGCCGCTCCACCTCTCCCTGGTCTGCTGGGCGGGGGGGACACTAGCTTCGCGTCTCCCTGGTCTGCTGGGGGGAAGCAGCTAGTGCGGGGTTGCCTCACCCATGTAACCCGGGGACTGTCTGTAGTCATGTTGGCATCAGAATGAGAGCCACAAGGTAAGTGAAGTAATATCTTTAATTGGACCTAATATGGTTCGTGAAAGAGACAAACTTTGGCACTCCAGAGAGCTCTTCTTCAGGTCTGTGGGAGCTTAAAAGGGCTAATCTTTCACCAACCAAAGCTGGTCCAAAATCAAAAAAGGTATTACCTCACACAACTTATCTCTCTCTTTCTATTTTAACAGCTTTAAAACTTGAACTATTTAAGTCTCAACTTCTACTGTCATTAAAAAAATTATCAGGCTCCCCCCCCCATAATTTCCCACAGCTGTGAAAGTTATAAAAAGACAAAAAGCTTAAGAACATCTATTACACAACGTTATAAGAAATAAAAGAGTGCATTCCACCATGCCCATTCATAAACCACAGCAGCAGGGGTGAAGCATTTCAGAGTGGGGTGGAGGATGGAGCAGAGCCTATATTCACACTGCGTTCCTTCTGTGCAAGTCTCAACAATCGCACCTTATCCTCAGATCCTCACACGAAGAACCCCAGTGACTTCCAAAGAGTGTTTGCAGGTTAAGGTGGGAGCAAAGCAAATTTCCTTATTCTTAATCTTGATGTAATAACAACACTGTGTCCAGCAACAGCTTTGACAAGGCCTCTGCCCTGAGAATTTTCAGCAAACTGAATGTACAACTCGTAGTGAACACGTAAACAGAACCAGGGGGTGTGAATTAGTGATCAAAAGTTGAATGAAAGGTTTGTGTTTCAGCTAGCCAGGCACCACCCTCCGCTGTCCTTCCATTTCCCTCTTCTGTTGGGAGTAGGTTTGTAATAGTGTAGTCAATTAACCGATAAGTAAAAGCTTATAGGTCCACTAATGCAACAGACTACACACATTTTCCTCCCCCGCCCCCAGTACATTTTTTAGCAGGCTGGCCAACAGCCCAGCTCAGTCCTGGCTTGCACCACGTCTGGGAGTTCAGCCCAACCACCAGACAGGGGCAGCTGCAGCTCTGAACTGAAAGTGTATTAGGAGCCAGGTGGGCTGGCAGCCCGGCTCAGTTCTGGCTCACACCAGGTCTGGGAGTTCAGCCCAATCCCTGGACAGGGGCAGCTGCTACCTCACATTGCTGCCTCTGACACAGAGGCAGCAGCCCAGGGTGACAGGCAACCAGTCCACAAGGGGAGCTGGTTTTTAAACGTAGCTGGGAGGCTGCACATGGGAGAGCTGATCTCAGTAACCCACTTATCTCCTCCTGCCTCATATTGGGGAAGCAGCAGTCCCCCCCCCCAAACACACACACACACACACACACACGTCCTCCCCAAAAAAGTGAGTGGTGCTTCTGAGCCAGCCGGGGAGCAAGAAGGGCAGGACCTTTAGCTGCTGATGGGGGAGGGCACAACCCCCCCAAACGTCCTCCCCCCCAAAAGTGAGTGGTGCTTCTGAGCCAGCCGGGGAGCAAGGAGGGCAGGACCTCTAGCTGCTGATGGGCGAGGGCACAATTTAAAGGTGTCCCCCCCCCAACAACTGAAATGTCAGATCCCCGCCCTTCCCTAACCTGAGCAGCCTTCCCCCTTCCCGACTGCTCCAGTCTCAGCTATTTGGTGCACATGCTCCTTGTTTATCTCCTCTGTCATGGCGCACACACACACACACACTCACTCGCTCTCTCTCCTTCAACCCCCACAAAACTCAGCCTCTTCCAGCACAGCCTGTCTCTCTCTCTCTCTCCTTCAACCCTCACCAAACTCAGCCTCTTCCAGCACAGCCTGCCCCTCCCTCAGGGGCCCTCTGTCCTGGGACGATGGGAAGCCCCCTCTCCTTGGGCACCCACCCTGCTGCTGCTCACACCAGAGCAGAGGAGTTACCTGAGAGCCCCCCCTCTCCCTGTGCATCCACCCTGCTGCTACTCACACCAGAGCAGAGGAGTTACCTGAGACAAGTGAGCGAGGGCCTCTCTCCTCCCTGACCCGGGTGGAGCTGGCTGCTGGGTTTCCAGGTTTTCCCTCCTGCTTAGCTGGCTGGCCCCAGATAAGGTCACCTGAGACTGCTGATGTGCGCCCCTATCAGCACATCACCCTGAGCTGCCCTCTTCACCCATATCTAGGCACTGGCTAGCTTCTGCCAAAAGTTCTGCCCCTTCCAGGGGCACAGACCCAGCGCCCCACCTTGGCCAGTGCCCCGGCTGTTCTGTCAGCAGCCCTATCAGTGCTGAGATCAGTGACCCTATCCCAGATTTTCGCCGAGATCAGTGACCCTATCCCAGATTTTCACACTTTCTGTGTGGCCCCCCAAACTGCCCAGGACCCTTTCCTAACACACACTTCCACACACCCCACTCTCTGTATTTACCTTCACCCTTCCCCCCTGTGCTAGGTGTATAACCCCACGTCTTTCCCTCCCTGAGCGTAGTGGCCGTACAGCCAGTGGCTGGGGGGACCCGGGAAGCTCTCCAAAGCTTTGAGGAGCTGCTGTCTCTTGTGGTACAGCTGGGTCACTTTCAGCAGCACACAGATGAGGCAAAGCCCCGGAGCCAGGTACAAAAGCAGAGAGGAAGGGTTTGCTATTTTCTCCAGCACAGAAGCCATGGCCCTGCCTTCTCTGGGGCCCTGACAGGCTCTGAATCTCTCCCTGCGCTCACATGGCTTATGTATCTGGGGAGCCAATTGTGAAAGCGATAGAATTCCCTCCCCTTTGCACGCCTCCCAGCTTGCCTGTAATGCTGGGGGTTGGGTTACCCGCCCAGAATGAAGCTAAGGGCTGAATCAAGCAGCCTCACAGCTAAGCCTCTGCATCGCCCTTTGTAAGGACGGTAGGGGAGGGTTAAAGGAGGAGTAAAGAGAGGGGCGATATTTGTGCAACAACCCACCATGTATGTATGTCCTGTCGTGAAGCGTGGGATGTGTCCGGTGCCCAAACAGCACTCCTGGGACCGGGTCCCTGACGGGGGCGCGTAGGCCCTCAAGTAAATAAGCGCTAATGGTCAGTACCGCTCTGTCAGGCTTGTTCCCATTAAGCCCAGCATCGCTCTGGGGGGCAGGGCAGGGGCACTGCTCCAGCAGGGACTGCAGAGCTCTCCTGTCCCTTGGAGGACTTAACGCAACACCCCATCTGGGGTGCACACCAGGGCAACTCTCTGACCCCGAGTCTCAGTCTCTGAGAGGAAATGGCCCGGGTGTGAAGCTGGCAGGCCCGGGTGTGAAGCAGACGAGTGGAGAGAGAGAGGCGCTCTCCTTATTCCCTCTCCTCCTTCCTTCCCGCCTTGGGTCCGCATCCAGCCGAGCCCCCTGGCACGTCGCTCGGAGCTGAGAGGGTCACTAGAGTCTGTGGCCGAGAGGGCTCTGAGGGCTCTGCCAGCCATGGAGCCAGGTCCCCCCACCCCTGCGGCTCTGATCGGCCGTGTGAGAAAAGGGGGCTGGAAATTGAGGGGAGCTTCAACCCCCTGCAGCAGCACAGCAGGAGGGGGAGGGAACAGCCTGGCCACCTGCATCAGCGCACCAGCTAGAGGAACAGCCGCCCTGCCCTGCCCTGCCCGGCTCTGGCTTACTGGGAATTCAGCTGGGGGGGAGTGCTGGGAATCTAAGGGTTGTGGTGCCCGGGATTGAGGAATCAGCCCAGCC